AAAGTGAATTTGCTCTGTAAACCTTCACCCAGATCACCAAAAAAAAAAAAAAAGAAAAAACCATTCATCCACAGATGGATACATAGGTAGACAGGCTGGTTGATCAGGTATGTCTCAGCAAAAGGGAATATAACCATGATCATATGTAAGTTTGGCAGATGATATTTCTACACACACATATGTATGTGCTATAAGAATGTCCATATATATAATAGAGCTAACAGAGGGAAAACTTATTAACTTCTTAGCCACAGCCAAGCAACCTGAGGGAGTGAGTGGTTGGCCCCATGGGCTCAGGACCACGTTAGCAGGGGACATTGAGCTTAATCAGCATAACACACTACACAGAAACACTGTTCTACATCCTACTGTGATAAGTTGCAACTGGGGTCTTAAAAGCTTGCAAATAGCCATCTAAGATGCAACAACTGGTCTCCCCTCATCTGGAGCAAAAAAGAATGAAGAAAAGCAAAGCTGCACAGAAATAGTTCAAAGGCAAATGCCAGCCTACCTGACACTGAAACCAGAAGAACCCGTGGTGCCCAGCTGGCACTGTCAACCACTTGGAAAGGGACCAAAATGGGAGATGCTGGATAGAGTGGGAGAACAACTTGGAACAAAACTCAAAATCAGAAAAAAGACCAGGCTTATTGGTCTGGTAGAGCCTGGCAAAACCCCCGAGACTATGGCCCTTAGTCACCCTTTGGGCTTGGAATTGAAAGTACTCCTGTGGCTTCCAGCTAAACAATAGACAAGCTTATAAGGTGAAAATTTACACCAGGTAGGTACATCCTTAGAACAATCAACTATGGGAGATCTGAAGGGCAGTATTTGCACAGGGTGATAGCTCAGAGGGTAGGAATGCATAGGAAAGAAGGACACAGGGAAAAGGTAACCACCGAGAGGAAATGGGAAGAGAGCTGTTACATTATGGGAATTATAGTCAATGATGTGAAACAAAATGTGTATGAACTGCTGTATGGAAAGTAATTTGCTCTGTAAACTTTCACCCAAATCACAATTTAAGAAAAAAAAAAAAAAAAGGAACTTCATTTTCTGGCCGAATCTCTGTGTGTCTGTGAGAAATTGATCTTTGTTCTGTGTGAGAAGTTGTCAGTGGGCCACCAGGAGGCCCACAGAACTCTGGGGACCCAGAGCCTGCAAATGAATCTTAAATTACAATCAAAAGTCCATGAAGCTATTCATGAGAGCCCCAAAGTGGAAACAACCCAAGTGTTAACAAACAGATGCATGGATAAACAAATGTGTGATATCCATAGAGTGCAATATTATTCATAAAATGAAATGAAGTTCTGAACATGCTACAACATGAATGAACCCTGAGAACATGGTGAAAGAAGCCAGATGAAAAGGCCACACAAATATTGTATGATTCCATTTACATGAAATGTCCAAAATAGGCAAATCCATAGAGATAGTAAGCAGACCCGTGTTGCTGGGGGCTGGGGGAGTGGCGGGAACAGTGAGTGACTGCTAATAGATATGGATTTTTTAGAGGATGATGAAAATGTTCTAAAATGGATGTGGTGATGGTTACACAACTGTGAATATCCTGAAAACCACAAAACTGTACACTTTAAGTGGGTGAATTATATCTCAATAAAATTGTTAAAAAAAAGTCACTGAGGATTAAATAACTGACATGATAAGATGATGATGATGACTTCTTTCCTTTAAATTGTATTTATTTTGTTGTTGAGAAAATACACAGCAAAGCATACACCAATTCAACACTTTCTATGTGTACAATTTAGTGACATTAATTACATTATTTGAGTTGTACAACCACTTTCACCTTCATTTTCTGAGTTGCTCCTCCCTCATTAACATAAACTCACTGCCCACTACAGTTCCTATCTAATCTTTCCAGCTACTGTTGTCAATTTGATCCTTAGAGATAGTTCTTAAAAGAATACAATGCTAAAGACAAACTTTCTTTTTGCTGGTTAAGGTAAACTATTCTTTGGTTTTAAGAAGACTTCAGGGGATTTTTTTCAGTTTAAGATTTAAAGATGGTCTCAGAGCAATAGTTTGAGGGGTTAATCTACCCTGTATAGCTCCAGAAAGTCTAGAGTCCATGAAAATTTTAAATTCTGCTCTGCATTTCCCCCTTTTGATCAAGATTCCTTTATGGAATCTTTGATCAAAATGTTCAATCAGGCAGCAACTAGTTCTTCTGGTCTTGGAGCAAAGGAGGCAGTTGTTCATGGAGGCAATTAGCCACATATTCCATATCCTCCTCCTATTCCTGACTTTCCTTCTCTCTCTCTTGTTCCAGGTGAATAGAGACCAACTGTGTCTTTCAATGGCCATCTGCAAGCTTTTAAAACCTCAGGCACTAAGCAACAAACTAGGAGGTAAAACAGAAGCACTAAATCCATTATTAGGCCAATAAACTGGGATGTCTCATGAAACCATGACTTTAAGCCTCCAAACCAAGGAATCAAATCCCATGAAGTTTTTGGCTGTACATAGGCAGCCTCAGCAGCTACTCCTTTTTTGTCATTGTTGTAAATATTTCTATAACACAACTTTTGCCAATTCAACTTTTTGCAGATGACAGCAATTACAATAATTGGCTGTGCAAACTGACCTGAATCAATGCAATTTTTCCATCACCATTAACCCCCTTTTCTCCTCCCTCCCACCCCTGGTAACTACTAATAAATTTTGATCTCTATACCTTTGCCTTTTTTTTCTTTTTACCCATTTTTGCTTATCCATTCATCTGTTGATGGGCATTTAGGTTGCTTCCACCTTTTGGCTATTGTTAATAACGCTGCAATGAATACTGGTGTACAAGTCTCTTTCTGAGTCTCTGCTTTCAGGTCTTTGGGGCATATACCTAGGAGTGGAATTGCTACATTATATGATAGTTCCATTTTCAGTTTTTGAGGAACGTCCACTGTTTTCCACAGCAGGTATACTATTTTGCATTCTCACCAAAAATAGATAAGGTTTCCAATTTCCCCACATCCTCACCAACATTATTTTCTGGGTTTTTTTTTTTTTTTTTTTTCCATCTTAGCCATACTAGTGGGATGATGGTGATTTTTTTAAGAGCTGGAAATGGTGCCTTAGTTTGTTAATGGCAATAGCAAGAAATTAATATCAAACAGAACATTTTTGACCACTTACAATATACTAAACATTGCCCATCTCTCACAGTGAGTCCTCCATGTACCACAAAAGTGTTTAAATACTGTCCACTTTGCAGATGAAGAAACAGGTCCAGGGGACTAGCAGCCTCCAAAGTCCCATGAAACCAGTAAGGAGCCAGTGTAGACTCCCACTCGGGTCTGATGTACTCCAGGGTCTGAGCTCTTGAGCTCTTAACCCGCTGCCCCCTCCTCCTCTGCTCAAGGCATTTTTCCTTCCTCATTTAGATACACTCCCACAATCTCATAAATCTCAGGAGAAAGATGCAAGCCAGTGAGAAGTAGAGAGGGCAAGGGAGAAGGAACAGAACAAAATCCTAGGATTGCAAAAGCGGTTCTTGCAGATTTATGGCTCCCAGTTGATCTATTAATGCATCACAACAAGGAAGGCTGAACAAATAGAAACGTGGCTTTCCATTTCAGTAACAAGCCATAAATAAACAAGCATCTGGCCCATGCCGCCCAGGCCAGGCGCACAGGACCAGGCCTTCTGGGGAGAGATGCAGGCTCCTCTAGGCCCAGCTTAGAGCAGAAAGTTCCCTACATACCTCTCCCAGGACAAGGAGCTGCATCAACACCAATGGGGGTGGGGAGAGACACTACAGACTGAGCTCAGGACCCTCAAAGCTCTCTATCCCTCAGCTGATACAGGTCTTCAGCCATACTCAGAGGTACACAGGTATCGGCTTGAGGTTTGGAAAGGCCCCACCAAACAGATGTTCTGAGACATAGAGACACATGCATGGTATTGGCAGGGGAGAAGGAGACTTGCTCAGTCTGGAACTTCACAAAGCCCTCACCAAGGCTGATGTCTCTAGACAGAGCTGTGGTCCACTCTCAGGGTCAAAAGTCCCCGTCCTGTGGGCCAGAACTACCATCCTACACACTCCTGCCTGGTGTGAAGGACACCCAAAGCCAGCCTCCTTGCTCACCGCCCACTCTTAGGATCCCAAGGTGGGGCCTGTAAAGGGCCAGGAGGAGTGAGAGAGAAGCTCTGAGTCAGAAGGCCTGGCTGCCAGACACCTGGGTTCTGCAGCAGTAGGCGTGCAAGGAGCCAGTGAAATGGGCAGGATGCCATTCCAACTCTGGCTTTCCCTTCTCATGAACCACTCGCCCCACCTCTCTGTGCCTCAGTCTCCCTAGGTCAGTTCAGATCACAGGGGCTGCTATGCAAATTAAATGAGATTCTGCAGGTAGACCTGGTGACCAGGGCATTAAGGGCTTAGAAGGGGCTCACACCCTGGGTGTTCATGTACCCTTAGAGGTCAACTGAGAAACTTCAGGGGGTCCATAGATTCCCTGCAGGACATTAAAAAGCCTGTATATGGAATGAGCACCCCTAGAAAGCTCCAACAACACACTTGCATGGTCACTGATTACCTTGAGGCCACTTATCCTTCAAACCCCAAACTCCGCCCCTTCCTCAACCTGAGGCCACTTGACTAGTTACCTGTCTGGGACAAGCGGCATGGAGCGGGAGTCCTTCATCCAGCTGACCAATGGGGCAGGGGAGCCCTGAGCCTCACAGTCCAGGATCACCTCTTCACCAACCTTGGCTGTGACTCTCAAGGGCCTGTCTGCATCATGTGACCCATTCACATGAATCCTGGGCTTGGCTGTGGGTAGAAGCAAGCAGAGGCTGTGAACAGGGCAGGGATGAATGGGATGGGTGGCTGGAGGAGACCAGAATAGCTTCCCAAGGAAGCAGAGGTGGTGCTGTGACCCTCCGGAGGCCCAGAAGCTGGGTGTGGACTTGTTATATCAGGGAGGGTGCAGGCTACACGTGTGGCTCCAATCCAATGGTTCTCGATTAACCTTCTCCCTTCCCTCTCCCCAAAACCACTCTTGCTTGGAAGCTCGTCTTTCTTGAATGACCCTGACATGGTCTCTCCTGCTGCAATATCAACACCTCCTTCAGCTTCTCTTCATCCTGGTATCCCCTCCCCAGGGACATTCCAGCAGCTTCCGTCCTCTGTTCTCTCCCTTCTGATCATCTCATTCATTCCCATGACATGAACCAGACTCTCTCTCTTGTTCTCTCAAACCCTGGTTGGGGATGGATAATTACTTGTGCATGTCACTTCTCTCTCCTATTAAGCTGAAAACTGCATTGATGGCAGGGTCATATGATAGTCCTCATTCTTACATCCTCTCCAATTTCTAGCTTGGTGCCCATACACTGAAGGCACCAGATACATGTCTGACAACCATAAACAAGCCATCCAGGTGAGGATATCAAACCCATCTAGCCTTCACCTATCTCCCACACAATCATACCATGAGTCATTCATTCAGAGAGGAAAAGATTGGCTTGTGTATTTGTTCACTCATCCTTGACATAGCTACTAAGTGCCCAGCCCTGTGCTGGATGCTGGGGACATGGCAGCAAAGGCGACAGGCCCGATCCCTATCCCTCTTGGTTCTATGATACCTGGGGAACAGTGAGACCCATCAGCTCAATATGCAATGATTACTTAATCACAGCTGTGTTGAGTGCTATGAAGGGAATTTCCAGATTGTTTACAGCAAGGTGACTTGATCCAGGCAGGGAAATCAGGAAGAGCTAAGATCTGATGGATGGAGGAGTCGGCTAGGCCAAGAGGCGGGGGTAAGGGCATTCCAAACAGAAAGAAATGAATGTGCAAAGGCCCTGAGGCAGGAAGGAGCATTCAAGAAAATGAAAGGAAGCTAGAGGGTTGTTTTTACACCACCTGGAACAGTGGTCTGAGAGAGGACAGCTTTAGTCTATGTGTGTTCAGAAGAAAAGAATTTAGACATAGGGCTGTTCAGGGGTCATAAATCCTCAGGATGCAGGTAAGGTCAAGCTGTCCATCCTCCTGCTTCCACACCCACTGTGCCCCTCTCCCAGGACCAGGGCCTCCATCACTCACTGTTCACAGAGAGCCACATCTCTTGGCTGGAGAAGCCCACAGCATTGGTGGCCGTGCAGACATAGGCCCCTGCATCCTGGGCAGATGGCTGGACAATGACCAGAGTGCCATCCTTACTCACATTGTAGTGGGGACCCCTGGAGGTCAGGGTATTGGTATCCTAGGGCAGAGCCACAGGTGATATCAGCAGAGCACCCACAACCCACCAATGTGCACCACTTCCCCTCCCATGATGCACTGAAGCCCACCAATCTGGTTGCCATACCTTTCTGGTGTCTGGTTCTACCTACCTTAGTCCAGGTAATGGTTGGGGTGGGAACTCCCAAGGCCGTACAAGGAAGAGAGGCCAGAATGCCTTCATTAGTGATGTGGTGGGTGATAGCGGTCTGGATTCTAGGCGGCACTTTTAAAAAAACAATTTCAACAGGAGAATAAAAATGGCATTGCATCTACAGCTACCAGTGCTTGACCATGGCTAAATTCATTGCCCCAAACAGGAGGGCTGCCTGCGGCCAGGGACCAGCTGTGCCATTCCTTTGCTCTGGGACTTTGGATAAACCATTTAATCTTTTCGTAGTCATATTCCCTGACAAGCAAAAAAGCTAAATTAACTGCAACACTCAGGGATGGACAGATAATAGTGTTCATGGAACACAGTGAACTTCAAGGTGTCAAATCCAGTTTGAGCACCACCCAGATTTGCAGGTGTGAAAATGGAGGTCCCTAAGAGAAGTGAGGGATGGGGATATTGGATGTGGAAAAGTCAGGATGGAAACCAGAAGCCACGGGCTCTGATGGCACAACTTGGAGCTCTGTTAGGGAAGGAAATGCCCTTCCCGCATCTGCCAGGTGGCCAAAGCCAAAATAAATGAATAAAACTTAAAAAACTCTTTGTCAGCAAGTTGCTTCTGACTCATGGGGACCACATATGTTGCAGAGTAGGACCAATCCATAGGGTTTGTCTTGGTTACAATCTTTTGTGGAAGCAGCTCTCTGGGCCTTTCCTCCATAGTACTGCTGGATGGATTTGAACCACCAACCTTTATGTTAGTAGTTGAGTGCAAAGCATTTGTGTCACCCAGGGACCTTGGCCAACAAGTCAATAAATACTTGTTGGATAGAAATGAACTGAGCCAAGAGAGGCTGCGCTGGTTCAAGCCAGCCCTACGGACAGGCTGTACCACGCACAGTGAGAAGTCAAGGGTACAGCACTCCGTGGGAGGCCAAACTCACTGCCATTGAGTTGATTCCGACTCATAGTGATCCCCTTTGGGTTTCAGAGGCAGTAAATCATTACAGAAGTAAATTGCCCAATCTTCCTTCTGAGGAATGGCTGGTGGGTTTGAACCACCAACCTTCTGATTAGCAGTTAAATGCCTTAGGCACTTCGCCACCAGAGCTAGGTCTATCCTAGCCATGCCCTTTGCTGGTGCGTGGTCTTGGTGACTTCACCTCTCAGCTTCCTTAACTTCAAAATGTGGAGTCTTTAAAAAGCCTACCTTATGGAGTAGTTATGAAAACATCATACAATGGTGTTTTATTTTTCAATGATAAAAAGAAACTAAAGTTTAGAGCAATGAACCTACTCTGCATGACACTAATGGTGAATACATGACATTGTGCATTTTTCAAAACTCATGAAATTGTAAACACGAAGAGTGAACTCTAGTGTAAACTGTGGGCTTTAGTTAACAAAAATGTATCAATCTTGGTTTATCAATTATAACAAATGAGGGACTACATGGTGTAAGATGTTAATAACAGAAGAAACTGTGCATGAGGAAGAAAATGTAAGTAGGAACTCAGCATTTTCTGCATAATATTTTTGTATACTTAAAATTGCTCTAAAAAATAAAGTCTATTAAAATCACTTAAAAATATAAGTGAAAACATTTGCAGAACCTAGCAGAGGGCTGGCACGTGGAAAGTGCTCAACCTCCTATTGTTATTATTCATTGGGATTATGGGGAGACAGAACACCTGGGTTCCAGGCTCAGCCCCTCTCTGAACTCTGGTTCTTTCTCTATAAAACGGGGAAGGGCATGTTCTTCCTGCTCACCTCTTGGGAGTTTTATGAAACAAATGAGGGGGGAAAAGATATAACATACTTGGTAAGTTACAACATATAACCAAACTGAGTTTCAAAATCTCACCTTACATTAAAAAGAACAGTAATACCAGGCTGGATGAGAAGAGGGGAGCAAGGACCCTCAAATGCCGTGGGTGGGAGGACAATTGGGTCAAATACACTAAAAGTCCTAAAAATATGCACTGTCCATGACTCCAAAATCAATCCACAGTAATTAATGAGCCTCAGGAAAGAACTGGTCCTGTGGGCAAAGGTACAGTAAAAGGACATTCATCTTCACCAGTGAAAATCTGGATGGGGACAGAGGCCTCATGGTGCATCCAAGCAGGGAACCTTCTGGTGTTTAACCTATGCTTTTGATACTTATTGACACAGAAAATAGTCATAATACACCGTTAAGCAAAAACCTGAAAAACTCAAGTTGCAAGACAATAATATAATGTGTTCCAGTTTGGTTTGAAGATACTTATTTGTATGTGTATATAAATAATCTATAGATACATATTGTCATCAGATGCCGTGGAGTTGGTCCCAATTCACAGTGACCCTAAGTACAACACAACGAAATGCTGAGCCCATCATCACAGCCACTGTGTCAATCCATCTTGTTGAGGAAATCTACTTTAACAAGCATGATATCCTTCTCCAGGGACTGGTCCCTTCTGACAAAATGACCAAAATACAAGAGATGAAATCTGGCCACTCTCGCTTTCAAGGAGCATTCTGGCTGTACTATCTCCAAAACAGATTTGTTCGTTCTTCTAGCAGTCCATGGTACATTATATTCTTCACCAAGATGACAATTCAAACGCATCAACTCTTCTGCAGTCTTCCTTATTTATTGTCCAGCTCTCACATGCATATGAGGCTACTGAAAAGACCAAGGCTTGGGTGCACCTTACTCTTCAAAGTGACATCTTTGAAGGGTACATTTTAAAGAGGTCATTTGTAGTATATTACTCAATGTAATATGTCATTTGATTTCTTGACTGCTTCCTTGGGCATTGGTTGTGAATCCAAGTAAAAGGAAATCCTGACAACATCAATCTTTTCTCCATTTATCATGATGTTGCTTTTTGGTTTGTAAGGATTCTTCTTTTCTTTATGTTGAGGTGGTATCCATAAGGCAGGCTGTAGTCTTTGATCTTTATCAGTAAATGCTTCAAGTCTTCTTCACTTTCAGCAAGCAAGGTCGTGTCTTCTGCATATCACAGGTTGTTAACAAGTCTTCCTCCAATCCAGATGCTGTCTTCAACTTCACATAGTCCAGCTTCTCAGATTATTTGCTCAGCATACAGACTGAATGAGTATGGTGAAAGGATACAACCCTTCCTGATTTTAAACCATGCACTATCCCCTTGTTCTGTTCAAACGACTGCTTCTTGGTGTACATACAGCTTCTTCGTGAGCACAATTAGGTGTTCTGGAATTCCCGTTCTTCATGGTGTTATCCATAATTTGTTATGATCCACACACTCCACTTGACATTCCTTTGTGTAGTCAATAAAACATAGGTAAACATCTTTCTGGTATTCTTTGCTTTCAACCAAAATCCATCTGACATCAACAATGACATCTCTCATTCCATGTCCTCTTCTGAATGCAGCTTAAATTTCTGACAGTTCCCTGTCAATATAATGCTACAACCATTTTTTAATTATCTTCAGTAAAATTTTACTTGTGTGTGTGATATTAATAATATTGTTCAGTAATTTCCACATTCTGATGATTTGGAATGAGGATAAACATGATCTCTTCTAGTCGGTAGGCTAGGTGGCTGTCTTCCAAATTTCTTGGCATAAAAAAGTGAGTGCCTCCAGTGTTGCATCTATTTGTTGAAATATCTTAGTGAGTATTCCATCAGTTCCTGAAGCCTTGCCTTTTACCAATTCCTTCAGTTCAGCTTAGACTTCTTCAATCAGTAACATCGGTTCTTGATCATATGGTATCTCCTGAAATGGTTGAACATTATCCAGTTATTTTTGGTACAGTGACTCTGGGTATCCCTTCCATCTTCTCTTGATGCCTCTTGCATCATTCAATATTTTGCCCATAGAATCCTTCACTATTGCAAGTTGAGGCTTGAATTTTTTCTTCAGTTCTTTCAGCTTGAGAAAGCTGAGCCTATTTTTCCTTATTGACTTTCTAGCTCCAGGTCTTTATGTACATTTCATTACGGTATTTTACTTTGTCTTCTCTAGCTGCCCTCTGAAATCTTCTGTTCAACTCTTTTACTTCATCATTTCTTCCATTTGCTTTAGCTACAAGAGCAAGTTTCACAGACTCTTCTGACATCTGTTTTTGTCTTTTCTTGCTTTCCTGTCTTTTCAATAACCTTTTGCTTTCTTCACATATGATGTCCTTGATGTTATCCTACACATTTTGGTCATTGTGTTCAATGTGTCAAATCTATTCTTCAGATGGTCTCTAAGTTCAGGTGTGATATACTCAAGGTCATACTTTGGCTCTCATGGATTTGTTTTAATTTTCTTCAGTTTCAACTTGAACTTGCATATGAGCAATTAATGGTCTGTTCCATAGTCATCCCTTAGCCTTGTTCTGACTGAGATATTGAGCTTCTCCATCATCTCTTTCCACAGATGTAGTTGATTTGATTCCTGTTTATTCCATCTGGCAAGGTCCACATGTATAGTCACCCTTTATATTGTTGAAAAAAAGTATTTGCAATGAATAAGTTGGTGGTCTTACAAAATTCTATCATGCAATCTCTGGTGTCATTTCTATCACCAAAGCCATATTTTCCAACTCCTGATGCTTCTTCTTTGTTTCCAACTTTCACATTCTAATCACCAATAATTATCAATATATCTTGATAGCATGTTTGGTCAATTTCAGACTGCAGAAGTTGGTATAAATCTTCAATTTCTTCATCTTTGGCTATAGTGACTCGTGTAAATTTGAATAATAGTCATATTAACTGGTTTTCCTTGTGTAGGAACATTATCCTATCACTGATAGCATTGTACTTCAGGATATATGATAATGAATGCTACTTCATTCCTCTTCGTCATTCCTGCCATAGGAGACCATAGTGGCCAAAACCAATTCATGTCAACTGGGATACTGATCTTTAGGTATTCCATTTTATTTCTGACAACTTCCAATTTTTCCATATTCATACTTCATACACTACACATTCTGATGATTAATGGATGTTTCCAGCTGTTTCTTCTCATTTTGAGTTATGCGCCATCAGCAAATGAAGGTCCAAAAGCCTTACTCCATCATGTCCTTAAGGTCACCTCTACTTTGAGGAGGCAGCTTTTCTCTATTGTATTTTAGTGCCTCTAACCTGAAGGGCTCATCTTCTACCACTGTATCAGACAATGATTCACTGCTATTCATAAGGTTTTCAGTGGCCAATTTCTTCAGAAGTGGACCTGGTCATGTCTTTCTTTTTAGTCTGTCTTAGTCTGGAAGTTCTGCTGAAACCTGTCCACCATGGTGAACCTGTTGGTATGTGAAGTACTAACATATTTTTCAATAGATATATAGATAGATACAAATATGTAAAACCAAACCAAATTCACTTCCATCAAGTCAATTCCAACTCATAGCGACCCCCTTCACATTTCCAAGGGAGTAAATCTTTACAGAAGTAGATTGCCGAGTCTTCCTTCCATGAAGTGGCTGGTGGATTTGAACTGCAAACGTTCTGGTTAGCAGTCAAATGCCTTAGGCACTATGCCACCAGAACTTCTTATAGATATATAAGAACATATATAAGGAATATATGCATAAATAAATTATATAAGGAATTTTTTTTATATAGTATATAAAAATTTATAATATACACACACAAACTACATAATCAGCAGTCCCCAACTTATTGTGGGGTTCCATTCTGGTGACTCCATCGTAAGTAGGTTTTGATGTAAGTCTAGTACCTCATTTTTTTTTTTTTTTAAATCATTGTTATTGCCTTTTCTTATTGGTATTTTTATAAATCTGATTTTTATTTGTCTTTGGGGGATGGAGACATTACATTTGAGAACGATGCCATTAGCCAGTTAAACATTATAGCACTGTATGTAGCACATATTTCTAACAATAATATATACAAGAAAGAAAAGGATGATCATAAGTGCAGTTTGGGAGCTCTGGTAGCATAGTGCCTAAGGCACTTGACTGCTAACCAGGAGGCTGGTGGTTCAAACCCACCAGCCACTCCTCGGAAGGAAGGTTGGGCAATCTACTTCCATAATGATACTGCCTCAGAAAACCAAGGAGGGGT